GTAGTAAAAAAAATAATATGTAAGGCATGTACTCTCAATAATAGTAGAATAATATGTAATGCAAATATTGGAAATAATAATGTAATATATGAGTAGTTTATAATTACTTATACTATTGCAAATATTTTAAGGTTATTATAAGTCGATTATGTAAGTTTGGAAATTTTCTTTTATTATTTATTTGTGTACTCAATCTAGGAATATATATATATATATATATATATATATATATATTATCCGTAAATATATAAACGTATAAAATTAGGGTTAATATTTACAATTTAAAAAAAAAATCCGCTGCAATCAATGCACGGATAAAAAACCCAGCTCAGAATCTTATCTGTTGATTTCAACTTGATTTCAATGTTATCTCTAGATAACTAAAGGTACAAATGGAAGTGAAACTAAACGAATTGATATTAATTTACCATTACATAGCAACTATGTAATCATTACCTTGAATGCTATAAATAGGTCTCAATTGTGGTAAATTTGGAGACACAAACTGATGAAAGTAGAAAAAAAAGAGAGAAGTAAGAGAAGAGAGAAAGAAGAGAAGAGAGAAAGAGAGCGAAGTAAGAAAATTGTTTACTCAACTACTTCTTGATAAGTCTACATTCCAAGGTAAGGGGAAGGAGAACCTTATCTCTTTAAAATTTTATATACTATTATGTATATTTATTTATGTTATTTTTTATGCATATTTATTTAGTGGGGTGTCCCTAACCTCATTTAATTGCTTAACCTATGATTATTTTTATCCATAATAATTATTAAAGTGTTCATATTTTATATTGTTTAATTATTTTATAATGATTTTCATTTTGTATTTATATCATTGGTACTCTTAATATATTCTCTTTACGTAAATATATTTATTATATTTTATAATCATCTATAATATAGTTGCGATATCTTGGACTTGTTTTGTTGCTATTTCTTCATGTATTTATGAAGATAAATATTATTCTATGGCCATAGAAGATAAAGTTTGAATTATTTATAGCTAGAGGTTTGACCTTGGGGATTTAAATGAGTAAGAATTTATGGAAAAATATTCTGTTTGATATTTGATTGATATTACAATAATGCTCATTTATCCTGACTAGTCACTATTAAAATGATTCAAATTTTATTATTTAATTTTTATGTTTATTACAGATAATCTTATTCTTTATTTAGTTAAGTATATTTATTTAATAAGTGTTCTCACTCCTTATTTCTTTTTGTGAAAAATTTAATATATCATAAAATAGATGGATCTACCAGCCATACCAAGTCTTTTTACAGTAGTTATCAGTGCCGTTTTCCCCGGGGGTAATTGGAGTGTAGACGCTATCTCCAACTTAGTCACTTTCCAAGGCATAGGGCTGTCTTCGTTCGTTTTCCTTCCCAATCAAGAAAATCCCACTAATATAGATGGACCTATTATAGTGACTTTCTTTTTACCACTAGCAAATCATGCAAATCCTATTGCAAACTTATTTCCACCACCAATGTAAAAACTATCGTAGTAGTAGAAAAAAAAAAGAATATGCAAGGCATGTACTCTCAATAATAGAAGAATAATATGTAATGCAAATATTGGAAATAATAATGTAATATATGAGTAGTTTATAATTACTTATACTATTGCAAATATTTTAAGGTTATTATAAGTCGATTATGTAAGTTTGGAAACTTTCTTTTATTATTTATTTGTGTACTCAATCTAGGAATAAAAATATATATATATATATTATCCGTAAATATATAAACGTATAAAATTGGGGTTAATATTTACAATTTTAGACGTTACACACATCATGAAATGGGTCCAGAACGGGCCGTTCCGTATTCAGAACGGGTCATTCTGGCCAATCCATACTTTTATAAATAGGAGGGAGGGGCTGTGAAAAATTATAACAGACTAAAGTGAAAACTTAGAGGGAGAAAGAGAAAGAGAGAGAGAGAAAGAAAGAGAAAGAGAAAGAAAGAGGGATAGAGAGAAAAAGGGAGTAGGAAAAGGATCTTGAAGATTTTTCGCAAATAAGTCGATGTTTCGAGGTAAGGGGGAGGAGAACTTTATCTCTTTAAAATTTTATATACTACTATTTTTATTTATTTATGTTATATTTTATATATATTTATTTAATGAGGTGTCCCTAACCTCATTTATTTGCTTAACCTATGATTATTTTTATCCATAATAATTATTAAGGTGTTCATATTTTATGTTATTTAATTATTTTATAATGATTGTCATTTTTATATGACTGGTACTTTTAATATATTCTTTTTACGTAAATATATTTATTGTAAATATATTTTATCATCAACTATAATATAGTTTTCATATCTTTGACTCGTCTTGTTGGTATTTCTTCATGTATTTATGAAGATAAATATTATTCTATGGCCATAGAAGATAAAGTTTGAATTAATTATAGCTGGAGGTTTGACCTTGGAGATTTAAATGAGTATGGAATGAATGTGAAATATCCTCTTGTTGGTTAAGGTGAAATATCCTTTTGTTGGTTGATATTATGATGATACTCATTTATCCTGACGAGTCACTACAATTATAATTCAAATTTTATTGTAACATGAAAATTTAATATATGATATATGATATATATATATATATGTTCAATATTGATTATAAATAATTCTGTACATTCTTTTGAATTATTGTATTTATTGGATATTGTTCTCACTCCTCGCTTTTCTTTGTTTTTAAAATTAAATATATTACAAAATAGATGGATCTACCTACGATTCGAGGACATTTTACAGTTGTTATTACTGCTGTCTACCTTGGATGGAATTGGGAAATGGATGTTGTTTCCAACTCTGTTACGTTTTGAAGACATATAATTACATTCATATATTTTTCTTTCTGCCAATCATACTAGTCAAATTGTAAATTTATTTCCACTATTAATGTAATTATTGTAATAGAGTTGGAAGAAATGAAACATGTGTAAAATAGTACATATTTGTAAATATTTTTAGAATGATATGTCATGTAATGAGTTCATAAAATCTTCTTTGTCCTTGTGAAAAATATTATTAATGATATAATTATGATAATATCATATAGGAAAAATATATTTATTATTATATAAATCGAGCGTTACAGTGTGTCGCTGAGCATGATCCTGAATGCAATTCTCATATTATTCTTCTATTTATTCCAATAATTGTAACTCTTGTAATGTGATGTTGAGTTGGATATGAATTGACCTTTGTGATGAATATGTGAAAGTGTATAATGAGTATGAAATGTGAGAAATGTGTTAAATGTGAGATCACAAAACCATGTGAATGTAATGCATAAAGTCTGTTGACATGCATCCTGTGTATAAAATGATTTTGTAAGGGTACAATATGAAATACACCATTAGGGAAGGTCTCTTATGTAAAAGTTTAGGAATCAACCTTCAGGGTATAGCATAGTTTGGAAGTCTTAATCTTGCCCTCGTGAGCATGAGATATATCTTGTGCAACTCAGCTATCATGACGAGACTCTAGTAGTATGTCCTTCTAGTGAGAGTGTGCAAGGGTTGTGACCCAACATGTACTCATAAACTACTCTAGAGTGTTGCTAGTGGCAATACACAAGTGTGATGATTTTACTGTTGCCACATGCATGATAATATATATGTAGTCCGTGTCCATCCTATATGCATTATAATCAATATTTTTTGTTGTTTGTTATGTTATGAATGAATTAGGCATGATGATAATGTGTAATAGTATATGTTATATCTCATTGTATGTGTTGTTAATTTGTATTTGGCTAGCCAATTTGCATTCCTACACCATGAGTCATAGTAAGATGTTTCTCACTCCCTTTTCTTTTATGTTGTTTCCTTGTGATTTTTGTAAGTAACCACCAACATGATGCTGAGGATGCTGGTGATGAAGCCTAGTCCTCAACATTAGGTTTTACTCTGATATGACACGTGACATCGAGGATTAGTTAAAACTAGTTAGGATTTGATTTATGTTATTTAAATTGAATAGTTGATTTTATTTCTTTTATAATTTGATATTTCACTACTACAAAAATACTATTTAACATCGCCATATTTACATCGGTTCTAGTAGAACCGATGTAAATCATAAACACGGTGGCAAACTTGTAAATAAATAAAAAATATAAACATATTTACATCGGTTTTGCTTATGACCGATGTAAAAATGAAATTCGAGAGTTGTTCTACATTGGTTTTGCTTATGACCGATGTAGAAATGAGACTATTCTCGCGCAGGGTGCACACTACCTGTAAACCCAGCCACCAACAATCACCCAAACCCTAAGCCCCCTCCTTCATTCCGCTTCGCAATCGCAAACCCAAACCCTAAACCCCCTTCTTCATCTATCACATCACCCAAACCCTCCTTCTCTCCTTCCGACTCCCTCACCTTCCTCCACCTCTTTCGTTCATACTCAGCGCAATGCAACTCGCGGAAGGCGAAGGAATCGAACAAGACGTGCGAAGTAGAGGTGGGAAGGGAAGAGCGCCCGCCGCAGATAACAGTGACCTTCATTAACGGCGTTGAGCAAGTCTTTGACGCCATCTCCACGCCCTCTCAAAGCATAAGAAGCCTCATTCTAGAAAAGGGTCAATACCTCGAGACCGAGCAAATGTTCCGCAAAGCTTTCCCAGACCAAGAGCTTTCCCAGACCGCACCCCCCACCAAAGTGTGTTTCCAATTTATACTTTTAATTTTGTTGCACATTCATAAATTAACTAACACATTCTCACTGTTGTTTCATTCATTTCTCTTTTGTGCAAAGTTTTACAATTTCTGTGAAATTTGGCTTATAGCTATAGCAGTTTTATTGAGTTCATAACTATACATGATTTTCTTAATAATGTGTACCCCTGAATTGATGAAATTTGAAACTATAATCTTGTCATTGAAAGGGAATTTCGTGATCAATTTTCTATGCCTGGAATGTCCCGGGTACTTATTGTGACTTGGTCAGAACTTGATGTTTCAAATGTAAAATTAGCTCATTTTTGTGCTTTTTGTTTCAAAATTACCATCAGGACTTCTTGGGTGATGACTTCAAAAGCCAGGGATCTCATGTTCCTTATAATGTCAATGATTTTTCTACACAGGTTTGTGGACTACTGTTAATATTATATAATTATATTATATTTGTTTGATTGAAATTAATCTTATCAATTTGCAAAACAGGGTACAGGGCTTTGTTCTTGTTGATTAATCATATAACTTAGATATTCATGTCTATTTGTTTTTTTCCCTACTGACATTTTGACCACCTCAAGGCTTCTCAAAGTGGATATGCTGTTGATTATGCTACACAAGGAGCACAAGGTGGATTCCCAGGGAATTTCCTTAACTAGAATTCTCAAGCCGGATATTCTCGTTTTGGTTCTGGAAATGACTTTATGTCTCGGGTTGTTAAAGTTGCTAGTAATGAGCATTTTTCCCCTTTGATTTGGGTCGTTTTTTCATTCATGTTCTGGTTTTTTCTTTCTTTTAATTGGAAGGACTACATGGGCCATGGATCACAAGGCCTTTTCACCCAAGTGGGATTCAATGATCCCTTGCAAGATGATGCGACGCAGAGCCATTTCAGTGTGGCGAATGCCAACCCTCTTCAGTCCCAGGTTTCTTGTAGTTCCAGCCTTTTTATTATAATGAAAATATTAAGAGAATTGATACACTTAATTTACAACAATTTGTACAACATTTTTTTTAGTATTTATATCTCTTTTCCTTACATCATTTATTACATCTCAATTTTACAAATTGTTGTACAATTAACATATCTCATTACAAAAAATTGAAGGTCGTGATTGTTTTACCACGAGATTTAATGATATATTTGTATTTCATTCCTGTTTGATTTACTCAACACATGCTTTTCTTCTGGGTTCTTGGCAGATGAATTCTCTATACTCCCAACCTTTTTCTCACTACAACACGCAACCAATTAACATGCAGGCTTCCCAACAGCAGCCTCAGGCTCAAAACTCCCAAAATCAGAAAATCCACTATAACGGTTGAGGAATTTAGGAGTTTAATGTGGCTTTGATGGGTTATAGTCTTTGCAATCAGCAACTGGGTTTGTGCCTGTGTTTTGTAATATAGTGTATCTTCTATTTTAACTATGTTTTTAATTCTATTTTTTTCTAACTCAGTACTGGTGGAAAGAATAAATATTGAAATATAAAAATAAGCATGATTTTTTTTAAATGCAATCTACATCGGTTCTCAAGAGAACCGATGTAAAAATGAATGCATTTTTTACGTCGCTCTATTCTACATCGGTTTTAGAACCGATGTAGATGACTTTAGAGAACTGATGTAGAATATGCGTCTTGTAGTAGTGTTTTCACCAAGTCTAGTTTTTTTTTGTTAAAATGTAATTATTTCTACTTTATGAACTTTGAGTTCATTTATTATATTGAGGTATTTCAGTTATTTATTATATTATGTATAATGACGTGTGGGTAAAAGATGTCACATCTATCTTATAGTATTTCTTTGGCTAGCTTTACTACTTCATCAACATGAAGCTCTTTGTGTTACGACTACATCTACCTTTACTCTTCAAGCTTTTTCCTTGGTGTTCTAAACCCCATCTAGGTATACCATGTGACCTATATATGGCCTAGGATAACTATTTAACTATTATTATATAAGACATTTTAAGCATAGGTGTGTAATTAATTAATATTTATTCGACACATTTCCAACATTCATTTACTGAGTGTTAGAATGTTTACAAGTGTTAGTGTACCAACCTGGCTCAACACCGAGCTCAACCGAGTTCATTAGACAATCTTGACCGAGGTGACCACCTGGTCAAACTAAAGTAAATACATTTAACGCTGAGGTGTTACATCGGGGAGAGGAGATTGGTAATACACCTCGGCATCCCAACAACATCGAACATGACTCAATTGACCATAACCCTCAGAAGATAACCATACCACAGTTACGCGGTTACTGAGAAAACCACCATAGGTAATGATATAAGCAATAGATGAGATCGGATAGATAACTAACTTGATTGTCGGAGTCCTTTTTGCAAGTACATCCGAGACGCTTGAGCAAGGAGACCAGACGGAAGGAACTCACCTCAGCAACCATTCTCATACGATCTCGCCTAGACCAGAGCAAGGAAGGAAACTTATCCGAGTTAGGGATCTGACCTGATTCGTGTAAGTACATTTGGCGCTAGAAGGAGGGCCTGGTAAAAATTTTCCTCCATCACCCTTATGGTTTCAACCCGAAGCCAAACCAACACAGCGACAAGTACAGCGCACAGAAACACATCAAACATGGAAGACAATCCAACTTTGCGATGGTTACTCGAGCAAATCGAATTGATGCGACAGCAACATGCAGAAGCGATGGAAAATCTTCGTAAGCAACATGAGGCCGATCTCCACCAAATGCGTGCTGAGCATGCTGCTTTTAGAACTCAATGGCAACAACATCAACCACCACACACACACCATGCCAGCCATGTTTCCCCTGTCACCGAGGAGCATCATTCTTCCCCAGATCCTTCCTACCTATCCAACTCGGTCTCATCGTTCTAAGCAAACCCATATTAGTCATCCAGTTGATGATCGTCACTCGGTTCGTCGACACCCTTTTGTCGATGGAATCATGGAAGTTCCTCTTCCGCCCGCCTGGAAACCATTAAACATTGAGCGATATGATAACACCTCACACCCAGATGAGCACATCGATGCATATATCACTCAAATAAACCTTTACACAAATGAGGACGCCATCATGTGCCGTGTATTCCCCACCTCGCTTAAAGGTGCCGCCCTCAGTTGGTACACCCAACTACCACCCAGATCAGTTGACAACTTCAACACTTTAGTGCACCTTTTCTCCGCCCAGTATGCCACTAGTAAGCCCCATCATATCACATCGGCCACGCTTTCAAATCTACGACAACAGGATGACGAATCTTTACGGCATTTCATGGAGCGTTTTGCTAACGTCTCTATCAAAATCCGCAACCTTAATCCCGAGGTCGCCCTTCATTCCATGCTTATGGCACTCAAACCCGAGCCTTTTGTTTACAGCCTCTGTCGACATCAACCGGCAAGCATGGATGAACTCAGAGCACGTGCAGCTGGATATATTCAAATGGAGGAACACGCTGAGTTCCATAACTCGGTTCATGACAGTTTCACCACCAAAGGAGAGTCTAGTACCAGGGAGAAGTCAAAAACTCATTTCGACCAGAGATCAAAAAGACCTCGTCAGTCACGAGGTCCCAGGTATGAATTTTATACCCCCCTTAATGCTCCTCGTGTTAACATTTTAGAGGAAGCTAACCATGCAGATTTGATCTCTCTGCCCCCACCGGCACACAATCCGGTCAACGCTGATAAGAGCAAACATTGTTGTTATCATAGAAATTATATATAGACATACAACAGAGGAATGCTGGAGTCTCAAAGATCGAATTGAAGAACTTATTCAAGCCGGCCAACTTGGACAATATGTCCAACGCAATCAAGCTTCTCATGGGGGCTTCCGAGGACGTGGTAGAGGACGTGGCCGATTTACTGGCCGATATCAAGGACGATATCAAAATTACCAAGGACGATCTGAGCAAAGAAATTATCATCAAACAAATGCAAGCGATGAGGGCAAACCAAGCACAAACAGTGCTGATCCACAACATATGGATAAATCCTATGAAGGAAACAACATACGCGGTGTCATCAACACTATTGCTGCGCGGGTTTGCCGGAGGAGGAAGTTCTAATTCCACTCGGAAGCAACATCTCCGCAATGTTTCCAACGTTCACAATTGTTTCAACTCGGAATTTAAGTCAGACATACCCACCCCTCCTATCATTTTCACTGATGAAGATTACGAGGGCATAAGCCTAAACCAAGATGATCCAATGGTCATCTCGGTCGAGGTAACCAACTGGGAGGTTTAGAAGACATTAATTGATCAAGGCAGCTCTGCCAATGTGTTATACTGGCCAACCTTTTTAAAGCTTGATATTCCTCACAGCATGATCCAGCCACATTCCAAGCCTCTTGTGGGTTTTGCAGGTGAGCGAGTCCACACTCGCGGTTTCATTGAATTACTAACCTCTTTTGGTACAGCTACAAATTCCAGAAGAGTGTTGGTAAAATATCTCTTAGTCGATGCCATCACTTCTTACAACATCCTCATTGGAAGACCAACACTGAACCAATTGGGAGCTGTAGTGTCTACACCTCATTTAACCATGAAATTCCCGGGGATGAACGGACATATCATCGCCATCAAAGCTAATCAACAATTGGCAAGGAAATGTTACGCTGAAAGCCTAAAGATCACTCCCACAAAACCTCAGCTCGGAATGACGAGTTCTAAAATGATGGCCCATGTCGGCCAGAGCGAGATGACCGAGTTGGATCCACGAGTTGACATGCATGACCACCGACCTAGTCCTGTTGACGAGCTTCTGGAATTCCAAATTGGTAAGAAGCCAGGACAATGCACAAAAATTGGGAAGCACGTAGAACCCGACCTCCAAGGTAAAATCATGTCAATTCTCATTAAAAATGCTTACCTTTTTGCATGGAGCAGTGCAGATATGCCCGGGATAGACCCCAATTTTATTTTCCACAGATTAGCCATTTTTACAGGGAAGCCAAGCTAGTATCCCAGAAGCAAAGAAAAATTGGTGGTGAAAGAAGAGAAGCTGTTAAAGCTGAAACACAAAAACTTTTAAGTGCAGGATTCATCAGAGAAATTAACTATACCACTTGGCTAACCAATGTGGTGATGGTTAAAAAATCCAATGGAAAATGGCGCATGTGTGTTGACTACACTGACTTAAACAAAGCCTGCCCAAAAGATGCTTACCCACTTCCCAGCATTGATAGATTGGTTGATGGAGCTTCAGGATACGCCATGCTCAGTTTCCTTGATGCCTACTCAGGCTATAACCAAATATTGATGTACCCTCCAGATGAAAAGCACACTACTTTCATCACAGAGCAAGCCAATTACTGCTACCATGTCATGCCCTTTGGACTCAAAAATGCAGGAGCCACCTATCAAAGGCTCATGGACAAGGTCTTCGCCAATCAGATTGGTCGTAACCTTGAAGTGTATGTTGACGATATGGTCATTGAGACAAGATCCGTTGAGCGTCATGTCCAAGATCTTGCAGAAATTTTTGAGCAAATACGAAAACACAACATGAGATTAAACCCGGAGAAATGCGTCTTTGGAGTTCAAGGAGGCAAATTCTTAGGCTTCATGATCACTTGCCAAGGAATTGAGGCAAACCCCGACAAGTGCCAAGCACTAATAAACATGCGAAGTCCCAAAAATCACAAGGAGGTACAGAGGTTAGTAGGACAACTTGCTTCGTTATCTCAGTTTATTCCCAAGCTGGCAGAGAAGGCCAAGCCGATCTTCAATTTACTCAGAAAGCCGAAAAGGTTTTGTTGGAGTGACCAATGTGAACACGCCTTCACCAACTTCAAGCAATTCTTGTCGAGACCACCTATCTTGTTAAAACCAGATTGCCAAGCCGGTCTCCTATTATACCTTGCAGTGGCTGATAATGCTCTTAGTGCAGCACTTGTACAAGAAAATGACAAAAAATAGACTCTCATTTATTTCATCAGCCGAGTACTACAAGACACCGAGAGAAGATATCAGACAATAGAAAAGTTAGTTTTGGCACTGGTGGTCTCATCTCGACAAATTCGTCCCTATTTCCAAAGCCATCAAATCATTGTGAAGTCGGATTACCCAATCAAGCAAATACTCAGAAAACCAGAGCTGGTCGGACGGATGATTGCTTGGTCAGTCGAGTTGTCTGAGTACGGTATAAAATTTGAAAGCCGAGGACCACTCAAAGCCCAATGTCTGGCTGACTTCGTTGCTGAGCTCACCCCTGTTCCACCTTCCGATGAACAAATTTGGACGTTGCACGTAGATGGATCTTCCAATGTGAAAGGCAGTGGTGCTCGCATTATACTTGAAGGGCCATATAATATAATGCTTGAACTTGCTATTAAATTTGATTTCAAAGCCACTAATAATCAAGCTGAGTATGAAGCTTTGTTAGCAAGTTTAACACTGGCCAAAGACGTTGGAGTCAAGAGATTAAAGTGTTGCAGTGATTCTAAGCTGATTACAAAACAAGTCGAAGGAGGATATCAAACTAAAGAGCCCCAACTTCAAAGGTACAATCTTATGGTATCTCGTCTCACATCTTTTTTTGATGTTTTCCAAATGGAACACATCCCAAGAGCACATAATGTTAGAGCCGATTTGTTATCAAAGCATGCTAGCACTAAACGTCCAGGCCAACATAAGACCATCATTCAAGAAACGATAGCTACCCCTAGTTGTCAAGTTACGGCAATTTGTGCTAACAATCCTTATCAGCATGGCTGGATGACTGATATTTGGAGCTATCTTAAAGACGGGACTTTGCCAGATAGTAAGGTGGAAGCATCAAAGATTAAAAACAAGTCATGCCACTTTACGATTGAAGCAGACGAATTATTCAAGCGAGGCTTCTCCATGCCTCTCCTCAAATGCTTAGACACAGATCAAGCCAACTATGTAATGGATGAAATCCACCGTGGCATTTGTGGCATGCATTCTAGAGCTCGGTCCATGGCTGTCAGAGTTATTCGAGCTGGATACTACTGGCCAACTATCACTACTAGAAAAATTAAAATTAGAGAGGGAAAAAATCTGTCACTAAACTTCAAAAAATCCGTCACAAATCAGTTAGTGACGGAATTTGTGACGGAAATGATTCCGTCACAAAATTTGGCGTCACAAAATATTTAGTGACGGATTATTTTCTCCGTCACAATTAGTGACGGAATTAAGGCGTCACAAACAATATAATTTCCGTCACTAATTTGTAACAATAAATGTTTAGAAATTAATAAAAATCCGTCGCAATTTGTGAGGGATTAAATCCCTCGCAATTTGTGAGGGATTAAATCCGTCACAAACTGTGATGACTCTAATTAAGTAGAATCCGTCACAATTTGCGAGGGATTAAATCCCTCGCAATTTGTGAGGGATTAAATCCGTCACAAACTGTGATGAGTTTAATTAAGTAGAATCCATCGCAAATTGTGACAGATTTAATCCCTCGCAGTTTGTGAGGGATTAAATCCCTCACAAATTGTGAGGGATTAAATCCCTCACAAATTGTGAGGGATTAAATCTGTCACAATTTGCGACGGATTTTATCCGTCACTAACTGGGATGAATCCCTCACTAACTGTTGATGACTAAACTTGAGGGAACCATTTGTTTTTAAGAGTCTGGTAATCGATTACCTATACATGTAATCGATTACCAGACAATGGAAAATCATATATTTGAAATTTACTTATTAAAAGGTTCTCTGGTAATCGATTACCTGTTTCTTGTAATTGATTACCAGGGAGATAAAAGCGTGACATATAGAAGATAAATTTTTGTTTTATTCGGAGCAAGAGATTGAAATCAAATGAGCTAAAATCACATGTTAGTTAATATTTAACATACAACTACAGCCAGAAACTAGTACCAAATTCCCAATAGAAAGTACATTTTATCACATATCAATTTGCTTTTCTACTACCGAAAGCTTCCAAAATAAAGAATGTAATTTCTCTCAAATAGACAAAAGCAAAATAAATAACAACCTACCATTATCAATTCCAAACAAATGGAGATCAAGTCTCAAGACAAATAAATTCCACAATATTCTAAGCCAGTAGTAGAATAAAAAGTACATAAAAAAAATGAGTGATGCAAAACTGCAAACCATAAAAACCAAATTGCAAATTGGGAAATTCAAATCAGATGAGAAGTAAAAACCTGAAGTTTCTGTAATTCATGCAACATCGATCTATATGCTTCCATAAGGACCTCATTCTGTCTATCCATGTGCCTGTTCAGCAGAAATATAGAAAGAAAAGCAGTTCAAGTAAAAGAAACAGAAGCAGAATTGAATTGGTTGAAGGAAACGTACTTCAATAACTCCCCAGTGTGTCTTGGATCAAAATTTTGAAATTCCATGCTGATAACGAAATTTGACGATCCTAACTAAAAAAGGGCACCTGAGAATGCAGAGAAAAGATGATGAACCACACAGTCACACACCTTCGTAGATCTTCAACCAAAGCAATCAATGACAAAATCAAATTTATCACCCTTGAAATCTGCAATGACAGAAGAAAAAAACACATTCAATTTGTTTCCCATCTCACACTATTACTGGAATAGGTGTAAGCTCCCCCCAGATTCAATTTAGATTTTCTAGCTACATAAATTACGATACTCTAAAATTGCATCAGAAAAAAGCAAGGAATAATAAAAATATCAAATCTAAATAACTCCATAGCAATTGAATTTCATTTGTTAGCTAATTCAACTCTAAAGCAAATCAGCAAATTGCTAGCAGTAAATTATTAGCAAGTATATATCCAACTATCCAAGTGATTGCCACTAATTATACAGAACACATCACACATTGATGCACTGTAATACTAAAAGGATAACATTGATGCAGATATATCATGAGCCTCAACAACAGAGTGCAGATATATCATATCATAAAAATTCAGTGAAAACATATATATATATATATATATATATATATGTATATATATATATAAACAT